TAATTTTATGACGTGAAGGCTGGGCCTGATCCAGATGACTATAAATCTTTAAAAGAAGTTTTTTGGAGCTTGAAAACCAAAAATAACTCATCCACTGCCCTTTTTCCATTTATAGCACACCCCACATCCCAAATGGTCCACCATATTGAGAATGCAAAATAAAAAAGAAGTCTCTGTCCTCATATCCTGATACTGCCCACAGAAGCTCCTTGAAAAGCAATGACCAATATGAGAAATTTACAGACAGGATGTGGAAAACCCTGGAATGGAGGGCCGCAGTTCACCTAAAAATGTTTCTGAAGTAATACATGAAGTCACTGAAATTTAATTTTGGCGTAGTTTCTGTTCTAAATTCATTCTGTGGGTGGCCAGTCAATATAGAAACCAATGTGGGATGTTGAAACAGAAGCACAGCATAAAAAAAATGTAGGAACATTTTAATAATAGAACCTGTGTGAGACAGGATGTTCTAATTTCATTGTGATCTGCTGTGCTTTTTAAAAGCAGAATTGTTAAAATTATTGTTTGAAATAAGTGTTTTTAATTGTGCCATTATGAGTAGTTGCAAAGCCACACTATCAGCTGCAGAGAACATCCCACAATGTCACCCCATCCTTACATAATTGTACTAATGTCCTATTCTGAGAATGATTCACTCCAAACATGCATCATATACTGCAGAATAGGACGTGATGAATAGGGAATATTTTTATTGAGAGAAGCGGCTCTGGTTCGAGAGACACCACATCCATTAGATTAAGCCCACCAGAGGCCCAAAAAATACTAAGGTTGAAACCAATGGGATTTATAGAGCTTAGTTTTGGTTAAAAAAATGGCTAGAGCTTGTTACAGGTCCAGGAACTTGCCAGTTGATTTTCAGTCTGAAAGATGTGAGTGATTCCATGCATGAGATTATTGCTGAAAAAATGAATCAAAGTGGATCAAAGTCAAAGGCCTAAATTAGGTTAAAATATTTTAACAGATTAGACCATTTAAGTTATTATACATGAAGAAACCAACGATACAATTTGTATTTTATTAGCCTTTTAGACATGATCCCAGGGGGCCAACAATATGCATGTATTACATTGCCAACCTAGAGCAGATCATTCATTTTTTTTTCAGAGTGCTATATTGGATTTAAAAATTACAGCCAAAAAGGTGAAATAATTCATCTGTGCTGACCCAATAACCCCAGCATCATTAACCCCGCTTTTAGACTGGCTTGGGGATTTATGGGGTAAAAGCACCCCATTATTCAGTGCTAGATGTATCCTGTAGCATTCACCTTACAAGTGCAAATGGGTTATTGTCAGCACTGTGACTACACAGTGTACAATATGGAGCTTTACATTTTGCCGTGGCCATAGCAAAACAGCCACCTGCATTGTGACTCTACAGTTTTGAGCTGATATCTTAAATATTGATATTAAGTTAATCTCCTTGAGCCAAATTGCGAAATCTCTGACATGTCTAAACATGCCCTCACAGCACACAGCAACATATGGCATTGCAGAGCTCCCCCTTCCCCCATCCTTCAACCTGAAACAGTGCTGTATTACAACGTTGTATAATAGCACAACATAGCCAACCAGGTCAATGATTGACAATCAAGGCAGGTCACAACTTAGCGCATGTGAGCCTGGTATTGTTGCTATTAAAAAAAAAAAAAAAAAAAACACTTGTTGTACGCTCAACATTTTCTCTGCAGCAGCAGAAAATGTTTTACTCCAAACATGCAACATATTAGGAATTAGGAATGTTTTAATTGACAAAAGTGATAATTGACAAAAAATAGTGTTTTGTTGTCTGATGAAATGTAGCTATATTGCTTTTTTTTTTTTTTTTTTTAAGACAGGGTCACACAAAGTAAAAATAGGTGTGAAGACTGGAGGCACACTTAAACCATGAAGTCATCTCATATTACATTCTGTTCTGCTTACAGACTTTCAGTGGAACTTTTTGCAATAATACCACAGATCATTCATGATATGCAAATGGTACATTAACCAGCAGATCAAGATATGCTAATTTTTTTCCCATTCACGTTGAATCTCAGTAATGAAAAGAACACACAGTACATGCCAAGAACACTACATAAAGAATTAATGAATACATACATACATACATCAAGAGTCCACTCCTCATGCCACTCAGGTGGTGGTACATTGAATTGCCAAGGCAAGACTATCACACAATGTTCTTGTATAATAAATACAAAACATAGCAGCATTTTATTTTGTTTTCTCATCACTTTTGTTTGGAGAAAGATAACTTGAATTTTAGCTCATCTGGGAATAATCAAATTTTTTGTGCGTCTCATGCACTTAATTTCACTTCTGTTTCAGTACTGTTTAAACTTAATCAGCACTGCTGATAAACGGTAATTTATTCCTTTTTGTGAGCTGCTTCAGAGGATACTGAAGAAAGACCATGACTAATAGGTTATAATAGGTTAAAGGGAATCTTAAGTCGATTCTCAGACGGGACGTTGAACATCCAATGTTTACAAACAAATCACTTGCTTTTGTTGACATCTTGCATTGTCACATGACCAATTTCATTCATATAAACCAATGTTTTGTGTACACGTGTAGATAATCCTTCTATTTCGGTTCTTTTGCGCAGGTGCGGCTCGCTGATTGGCCGATAAGCAAAAACAATGGGAATCGACTTTGGATGCCCTTTAAGTGCAGTAAACCATGTAAGATGCCCCCTAAGAAAAGCCCCCCCTCCACCAACCACCAAGGTAAGAACCTCCCCACCCCACCCCTGTAATTCCCCTCCTGACCACTAGGTGTGTTCTCTTCTTGGATGGTAGTGGCCTTAAAGTTTGAACAGCAGCAAAATAATTTTTCTGGTGGCGGGAAAAAAATAAGTAGTTTTGAGGTAAGATAATGTAATATTTTGACAGTACAAAAAAATCTTCTGTATTTTCTTTTCTTTCTTTTTTTTTTACAAGATTATACAAACTATTTTACTGTTAATATGAGAATCAAATAGAAGGTGATTCATTAGTTCGAACAAAAAATGACACCTTTTCCTAAAACTTGAAAGTGAAAGAGATGGATCTTTGAGAGAAGATGTCCCCAGTGTACACGTGGTTGTTTGTTTCTGTCCGTATGCTTTTGTGTATGTATGTGTGTGTGTGTGTGTGTGCGTGTGCGCATGCATGCGTGTGTGAGGGTCTGCAAGTGCACTTTTACGACCACCCTACACCAAACAATTGAGATGATGAGCGCTAGGCCCAACTCAAGAAAAAATCTGGTGATTTTACTGTGATATTGGAAATTTGTCTGTGACTGAATTTGCTTCAAAAATTGTCTGGTGTCAAGGTAACATATGAAATCGAATGACGTTTGATATAATAGATCCAGCAAAACTATTTGCAGGATGCTGAAGACACTGGGCAGCGAAAGCAGACGCGGTAATGGCCTAGTGAGCAGTGTAATTCTCGTTTTCCGTTGAAAGTAATTTGTATATAGCTAAAGGAGAAAACTGGAAAAAAAAAGAAAAATAAAACACACACACACACACACACACACACACACACACATTGGGTATGCAGAACAGTATCCCTAACTTAAAAAAAGTCTTTTGCAATTTAAATACCATCACTTCGCTTTGGTCACTATTTATTCATTAATCTGTTTAAGCAGCAAATCAAGCGTTTGTTTCCAAAACGCAACAAGCGCCAAAATTACAAAAATGAGATAATACCATATAGCAATAGCCCTGTGCTTCTTACACATGGTGCAAAAATCCCTTTTTAGAATTTCGTACTATAAGGTGTATTTTTTCATTCGAAGTTTGTGTTTTTCTATAAAATGCAATAGGCGCCAACATAGAAAAATTTGATTTACTCAAAATGAGTAAAATTGAGATATATTGCATTCTGGAGACAAAATTTTCAAGTATACTTTAACATTATTAACCAAGAGGAAAAATCTTCTACCTCACCAGAAGAATTAGTGGCCTTATATGACAGCCATTTACTGTATATTAGTTTATAGTCAGATGTACAATATATTTTAGACCCTATTAACCCGACGCTTTTACTCATTCCAGGAAAATCCAAATCAAATGGTAAATTGCGAGGGTACCACAACTTAATTAACAAATGCAAAAGACGTCAAAGTCAGCATATCTGAAATGTGAGAAAATATTCATCTCATACTTGTTCTGTCCATTTCATCTTTCAAATTGGTGAACAGCATTTATAGCATGATATAAACTATATATTTCTTACTACAGAGAGTATTGATTTATTCATTTTTCTGTTCGAAGGGCTATATTTTTTCTTTCTTTATTACAGTTATTTATGGTGGTACATAATTCCGACGAAATTCAATTTCAAAGTCTTTGTAGGCTTTTGAATGCATTTGAATCCATCACAGTTATGTACATTCAGCGGAGCTCATATTGATGAAATCTGCACATCCATGTGTACAATCCATCTCCATGTTCTCAACCTCAAGAATTCTCCCTCCATTACTTCTCACCCAGATCTATTTACCGACTTGGCAGGGAGGGATAATAGGCTTAGAGCATATTAATTGAAAAGTAAACAAAGAGGGCTGCAATCTGGATATTGCCATTAGCACAGGCAGACCGCTGGTTGTCTCAGGTTTGTGCGTTTGACAGTGAACAAAGAGAACGTCAATGCGTTTTAATTGCATTTCAGTGCAATATCGGTGCCTCATTTGCGCAGCACTGCTTTGCATGGAAAAGGCAAACAAATACGCCCAATGAGACAATGGATAGGTGGGCATTTAATTATCTTCCCATTGTACTGCTTTCAATTGAGATGTCCACACAGTAATGGTAAATGGATTGCATTTATATAGTGCTTTTCTAGTCACATCACATGACCCCAAAGTGCTTTACAATTTGCCTCTCATTCACCCTGATGGCAGAGGCTGCCATGCAAGGCGCCAACCTGCACATCAGGAGCAGTGTGGGGTTCAGGGTCTTGCTCAAGGACACTTCGACATGCCCTCTGGAGGAGCCGGGGATCGAACCAGGAACCCTCTGATTCCTAGACAAACCGCTCTACCTCCTGAGTCATGCCACCCCATGGCCCTGTCTTAACTCGTGCAAGAATAAAGAACATTTATGCTAGGTTCCCACTACTATGATTTGCGGCATGACTGAAATCGTGGTCTTAATCATGGAGTAATCATGGTGATCCTATCAGATGTTAACAGATCTTGAGGTCAGTCGTGGCAATTGTATTGATTGTAGAAAAGTTTTGGACGGTTCAAAAATTTCCTACGATCAACACGATTAATTGTCAATCGATCATCGCATCACCTCATATCCAAACCTGAAATTTTAAGCCGCTTTCACGCTGGACGCGAAACAAATTTTTCATACGACAGATTACATTCAAAGTCAATGCAAAGACGCGTCAAAAATTTGTTTCGCGTCCAGTATGAAAGCAGCTTCAAAGAAGTTCCACGATCAGCTACGAATGGCCAATCGTGGCGTTCGTAACAGAGCACACGCAAGTGGGAGCTAAGCATTAGCACGCATGCAACCCCTGTTTATGTGCTACAAACCAGGGGACTAAAGCCTGGAGAAGAAACGAATAAAGTATTACATAACTATCAGACTGCTTCAGACACTTTCATCCTGCGTTGTGATTCACTGTGTATCTCAGACATCGTAAGGTGACAGAGATCAAATTCAGACGATTCGCTGCGGTAGAAGTCCAAGGTCACAAACAGTATTTGCTGTACGTAATTCCTCATCTCTTCCATTATCAGCCATTACTTTGGGTGCAAAGGTAATGTTTACGAGCATACAATACATTACTGGTCATGAAGACAGCCAGAAATATTTCAGCACAAGTTTTTTCCTCTTGTCTGTGTGAAGTGTCCTCGACACCTTGACTGCGGTATTTTAACCCTTTGAGCGCTGAAATAAATTTTAATAAAATATACATTTATTTTTCTTGTGCTGTTGAAAACCTACCATGTGGTGACTTGTTGAAAAGAGCTCCCCTGCAGGTTTTCAGCAGCTTTTTATTTTGATGTCTTACATCATTGAGCAACAATCGCTGCATTTAGTGCATTTTATTATGCAGTTATGCACTAATTGTGGCTTTTGTGAGACTTGGCCTTAATGCAGGGAGATATGGTATAATAATTAATTTGTGGAATGATTTAACCATTTATTTTTTACTTTTTGATGTTTAAAGTTTGTCCACAAAAATGTTTACTTTTGATTGAAAGTGATATCTTTTCCTAACTTTAAACAAATACTTTCAAGTGTATACTGTATATAAAATGCGTGAGCATCTTAAAGTCTGACATGAGTCATTTAACAAAAATATTACAATAATATAATAAAATACATTTCACATGACTAAATATTGAATGAATAGCTCATATCAACATATTTTAATGAGATTTTAGTGTTTTTGGTCTTTTTCTGTTTTTGTCTGAGTAAAAATGAATATTTAAACACTACTGTGCTTCTTTTGAGTTTACGGTTTGGCTTAATTTGGTGGTAAGATTTGCAGAAATAACAGGACTGTGGATATACCGCTTATGTGACTTGTGCCAGACCCATGAGTATGGGAGCTTCATTTAAGGTGAGAAGTTAATCCTGTTTCATCTGCTGGCTCTCAGAAATAAAGCCCTGCTCTCAGTGAGCTTTAATCCCAGAGCTGGGGCTGATGCTCCAAACCAGCAGGGCTGTTATGTCACAGGGGCTAAACTCGTATTTGTGATTTCTGTGTGAGTGTGCATGCGTCTGAATGTGCGAGAGAGAGAGAGAGAGAGAGAGAGAGAGAGAGAGAGAGAGAGAGAGAGAGAGAGCGCTACTTCTGTCCCTGTATCTGGGCCCATTTAAATGCCTGTGAGAATCTTACTTTCATGATGCCCAATATAGGAACACGAACTGAACGGGCATTACTCAAGCACAGTTAACAGTATTCAAGTTGGCCAGTGTTATGAGAACACAAAGATGGGTGGGGACAGCACACATACAGTACAGGCCATGGTTTTGTTCAATTAGATTTTGAAATTCTGGTACAGTTACCTTGTTGCATTGGTACCAGATTTCCTTACCAGGGACCGCTCTCCACCTTTATGAAACAACCTGCAGTAGATGTGTTGGTCTGCATGAAATATGTATTATTTTTATCACATATTATTCAGATGCTGTAAAGCTTAATTTTATGGCATTTGAAATACTATCCAATAATTCCTTCAGTATATTCGACAGTGAAGCCATGTGCAGGTACATGACAGCACTCAGGAACTGAACCTTTAAACCTACGTACAGGCTTTTACCTCAATAAGACTTCTTGTTGCCTATTTTTTAAGATGTGTCCATATTTAATAAGTCTTTCCAGACATCTACAGTCATGCCCAGAATTATTGACCCCCGACAACAGAGTTAATGCTGCATATGTTCATTTTTAATATATGGGAAAACTAGATCGTTATTAATAACATTTATTCTCATGTTTCAATGTCTTCAAATGAGTGATCAAGTTTTTACAAAAAACCATAGGAGCCACGCTCCAGTTCAGACCATAAGATTCTGATGGGATTTACGTCCAGACACTGACATAGCCATTGCGGAACACTTTTGCTGTTTTCATTTTATAATTTCTTTCTTGATTTTGACTTTAAAATTTTTTATTTATTTATTTTTTTATCTTTGAAGCCATTTTCCTACAGAGAGATCCATCCAAAATCATGTTTCAGGCTCTTAGAAGAGAAATTTTCACTAAAATTTGCCAGGACTTGGGAGAATTAAGAACGGAATTTGGCAGCAAATCGACTGAAACCATTGATGACCCTATGTGACCAGCATTTCACTGTAAGTATGAGGTAGTGTGTGTCTCCTTGTACGCACTCCTCTTTTGTGACCTTACCTGCTGGTAGAGTGTATGGCAAAAAAAAAATTAAATTTGGTTTATCTGCTAATTATGCTTTCTTCCTGTCATTGTGGCAAACTTCTGCTACTTGTTTCTTGTGGGCCATTAGGGCTTTTTTTTTTCCTGCAATCATTCCAAAAATTCATTTTTTCACAGATGTGGCTTGTTTTGGTTCTTTTTAACTTGATGGCACCAAGACACAACAATTTTCAGTGATTCAAAATCCCTTGATTCTTTATTGCCTCCCTAACCATCTTCTTCACTGTGGGGACAACAGGCATGTGTGTCCTTATTATCATTTAAATGGCCAGTTTGCTTCCATTCCGCAGAGCATCTTATCTTATTTTGACACCCTATTGAAACAAAGTAATAAAATAGCAGAATATAACTTTAGCCTGAGATGAATTTATTAACGTAAAAAAATAATTAAATGTAATGTATGGTTTGTCCACATTTTTTAAACTTTAATACCAATTATTCACTGTGCCGTTGTGTGCGTTTCCCTTAATTTCTATCAAGGGTGCCAATAATCATTTCTGACTTGGCACTAACATTCTTTTTTACTGAAAAATGTATGATGTGACTGGATATCAATTATCCACTCAGCAAATTTTAGACCAAGGCCCCCAGCTATGGCAACAGATCACAATATTGCTTTTCAAGAGAGTGATATCACGACTTGAACAGATTTTAAGTTACATGTCTGAACTTTACAACAGATGATTGGACAAGCTAACTGATAAAAACTGAAGTCTAATGATGAGTCCTTGCTAGCCAGGTTACACCCACGAGGTTCAACCACATCAAATGGCCAATTATGCACCTGCATGGTGCTTGTGCCAACACCTTTTCACATGCAGCAGTGACTCAATGGTAAAGTTTTTTGATAGTGAAGCGAATTGAAGTTTGACTTCATATATTTTGCAGAAGAGTTGAATAGGAATTTCAAGTTACAGCAATATGCAATCGAGGCAATAGTTCATTACCAAGATTTAACTACATGAGACCAACGGACCCATACATGGGTTTGTCAAACACTGCTAATTTAATTCAACCCTGTGGCTTTTTAATCTTATTTTAAAATCTAGTGGAGATCCCGGGGATATCAAAGATCCTAAATATGTCCTGCTGAATTACAGGGAAATGTGTTATGTTCTAGACCAGGGAATCAAGTGTGAAGGCTAAGTACAATCCAATAGTTGGGTGTATTGACAGCAGAGTGGTAATGTTTGTGGATGGAACCCCAGAGGAACACAGCACAATTCAGCATAGATGTAATTGGTGAAGCGGGGCTGGTCATAGCCAGTCAGTGGAATCCAGGATACAGCCAGGTCAGTGTTGAACAGCCAGGTCAGACTTGGAGGGGTTAACGAGCACGCAGCTCCAAATCCTGGGCCCTGAGTAGGCTTGGAAGGTTGCTCGAGTTAAATGAGGGAAGTGGAAAGCTTCACTGTCATCAAAGATTACATTACACTTAAGACAAAGAGTTTACTAGGAATACGGAGTGATTCTGACCACAAATAGCAAATTACAATCCAGCTACCTGCAACTCAAAAGGGGGTTTAAATACACATCACAGAGCACTAGGAAATGAAAATGAAATGAGACACAGCTGGGGAGGGGGAAACACGCGAGACGTAACTAATCAAAGGAGGCATAAAGTACTTAAGAAACACGCAAGTTGCTGATTAGGAAGGGAAATGAAAGGCATTCACATGAAGCTTGTGACAGAAAAGTATATAAAATGATTCACAAGAACTTGATATATTCTTTTTGATGAGATGCTGAGCCCATAAAAACATTGTGTCAAGGGTTTGAATACTTCTCTTAATATAAGTGTGATGTAGCATCAGTGAAGGGTTGTAACTGGCAGATACAGAACACGCATGTGACATTGTCCTATTTCATATAAAAAATGTTTTTTCTAACTTTGAACCTGCTTTTAGACAATAAATGAAAGGCTGTCTCAGCCTTTTTTGAGCGTGGCACTTATTTATGAATTTCGGTCTTGCAGTGACTTTGGCAATTCAGTGAAAGAGGTAATGGATGAATGTCATGTATTGAACACCTGATGGCTTGATGCTACATGAATCAAAAAAAGTGCAATTACATGGGCTGGTCAGGCCCAACCTCAACCCTCGTTATTAAAGTACTATCGTTGCCCTCTACAAGAGGGGGAC